TCCTGAACGATTCTCTTGCCCGAGGCTCTGACACGTATTTACATGGATGGGAAGAGGATGGAATTTGGGACATAGAGAGAGAAAGAGAGAACATCCTTGGAATTATGAAATGAATTGAACCATAAATTTAATCGAGTTGAAGAGAATGTTTAAGAAAAAGAAAGATGGCTTCTCTGTTTATCGGAGAAGAAACGATAAATACTTTTGTTAAACGAACTTGGGAACTGATTCTTTGTATATATGTTTATATTCTGAAGATTATATCCAAAAGATTAAGTCGCGTATCCGAAAGAAGATTCGAGAAAATATCTCGCTAAGAGTCTAAGTCTTTCTGCAAATGGGAATGAAATTAAAGTGTAACGAGCCGTAACGAGAAATTGGTTAAATTTTCAAAGGTAGAAAGTGGATAATAATCACGTATTAACTCGTATCAAATTTATTTCTTTTTCCTTTCCAACAAAGGCGTTAAATAATAATTTCCAACCACCAGAGAGGACAACACTTTGAGCCAGAATATTCTTCCTTCCGTCGCATTTTTCGCGAGTTCGGAGAAACGTACGAAAGAAAGAAAGAATCGTTGGACAAGAAAACCGATGAAGGGTTTATCTTAATCCACGGTTCACCGAGCAGACGAGCCGCCACCCCTTCGATCGACCCACACCCTTTTGCACATAACCGGCATCACACTTGGCTTGTTTTACTACCTACTTTTTACCTACTGAAAAACCATTGACTAACTAGAACTCGGACATCGTCATCGACTTTCCCTCGCGCGCAGACGACTTATCGTTTTCTGAATACGGTTTATCTCACGGAATTGATCCGCTCCTTCTTGAAAAAGATGATCAATGCTTTAAAAATTACCTTTCTTGCGCTAAATGAACATTTTACTTTCCTCGAAACTTATTCATCCTTTCATCTCGCGTCATATCGAGAAAACGCGTAATAATTCAGAAAAATTCACTTTCATAATATACGTTTTAATCGTTCGTAATGAAATATAGATTAAAAACCAATGGGCGTAAAATAATTTTAATCACTCCCTCTTTCTCGACAAATCCCCGACAAATTCCTACCATCTTACGCTATACCAACCTATACAAAAAACAACCCCCTCTCCCTCCTTCCCAAGATTTCTGCTTCGCGAAACAATAACCGCGCCAGAGTTCCTTCCTCCCTCCCTCCTCCATTGTTGCGTTTAAAATCGTGACAGGAGGGATCTAAAAACTTGGAGCGTACTCTGGTGGACGACGCGCGCCGTGGACCAAAACGAGCTCCAAAAAAAGGGAAGAAGAGAAGGGAAGAAAGAGAGAGACAAAGAGAAAAAAACAATGGAAATGGGAGAAGGGAATAGGAAGCGTAAAGAAGTATTATCGAAGATAGAATTATCGGCTTGCCGAAGCTTGGGCCTTGGGAAAGAAGAGGAATCGAAATCGCGCGAGGGGGGTTGGGGGAGGAGAAGAGGGATTCGCGAAGAGAGAGAGAGAGAGAGAGAGAGAGAGGAGGGGGGGATTAAATAAAACATGAGTCGGCGTTGGGAAAAGTTGGCGGTGCAGTGGGCTTGCTTGCAGGCGTTAATAGACCCGGGGGCCGAAAAGGGTATAAAAGAGGTTCGAGAGAGAGGATGGGCAAACACCTGTAACACCGTGTTGTTCATGGCCTCACGTGCCCGGGCGTGGCCGTGACGAAGGTGGCGATGATCGCGCAAAAAGCAGTCGCTGCAAAAAGCCGATCAGCTCGTGCTGATCGAAAACTTGGAAATATCCGTTGGAACGGAAGCGTTGAGGGGGAGAGGGGGAGGCTTGGAGTTCCAAAGCTTCGCCTTTACTTCGGGTTACGTAAGGTAAAATGGAGAATAATTTATCGAAGCGATAAATTTTTTGTACCATTATTCTCTGGAGACCGTTCGAAAATATATTATCGAATAACGAAACGAATAAATTCACCAACTGTCATTAATTGTCACCTTCGCGTCTTGAAACGATTCTTGAAACGAATATAGCGAAATAATAATAAAATCGTGCTTGTGCGCCTCTCGATATCGCGAGCTCCTCGCGGCTGTTTGATAATCAGCGATGATAGTCAGCGTGACTGAGCTGGATCCGCGCCCCCGGATTCATCGATGCCCCGCTGACTATTTATCTTGTTGTACATCGAGGCGATTTGATTCTTCGAGGGGATCAATGACGGCCTCCGCGACTTTCCGCCTTCTTGTTCCAGCCGTGAGAGATGAGTAGCCAAGGTGGAATCCAATCTAAATCGGAGCCCCTTTGTCGTTTCGAAATCGATTCAAACGAGTTGTTGGTTACGCTCCCCGTCACACCTGAAAAGGAAATTGTCGTTTATTGATTTTCTGATTCTGTGAAATTGCGGACGATGGAAAAAAGTCGAGTGAGGATGAGTGGGGGGGATTGTTGGAATTTAGAATTGGAATAGAGTTTGATTTGACGTCGTATCGTAATAATTTGTAAACGGAGACGAGACGTTTCTTTCAAAGATTTGGTTAATCTTAATTAATATGATGGAAAAATATTTAAAAATTTTTGTATATAACATTGATTGATAGAACAGATTCATTTTAGTCGAGCTACCTTGAGTCTATCTTCGCATTTGTCTTGTTACATCGATTTTCGAGAAATTAAAAAATGTCTTTCTACCAAATAACGTGATGGAACAATATTTACATACTTTTAACATTTAATTAAATATAATCGCGAATAAAATTAATATTGGAAGAAAGATATGTAATGTGTATAATTTATTACATTTAAAGTATGAAGAATATATTTGCATAAAAATTCGAGGCCTAAATAGATTGCATAGATACCGAAGTTGAGGAGAAAAAAAGCGTGTAAGCAAGGCAGCTGGTCTTGGACATCCATTAATGTTTCTAGGACAACGAGATACCGTTCCATCAAGAGATTCAAGAAATCCTTTCATTTTTAATACTCATTACAATTATGAAACGATGAATCAATAATGCAAGGTATTAGCAGATACATTCGCGTGACAAATATTTATTGCTATTTACCTTCTCCAAGATGGTGGACATCTTCCACGCGATAATTCCTCAAGTTCCTTTCTTTTTTTCCAGCGAAAATTCATGTTTTTCCTTCGTGACAAAGACCTGAAATGAATTGTTACGCTTTAGAGACGAAAGTTTCTATATAATTAATCGCATATGAAGTTAAATTTTATAATAAATTTTTCTCTGATAATTTCGAAGAAAACGCTCGTCTCGTATCTCGAATTTTTAATTTTAACTTTCCCTCCGAATCTTCATTCGAATTCTTAAAACGATCGACGTGCGTGATGATCGTCGCCTGCAAAAGTGCAAAGAGTTTAAATTACAAAGGCTGGCGTCACGGAATACTTACATATATCTTTTGCTACGACGCAAGCGAGGGTGTTTGATTAATCAAAAAGCACGTCACAGGGACGTGAGCTGTGCGTCGAACCGACCTCGAAAACAAACAAACGGAAGCGGAACACGCGTCACCGTGGCCGAAATGTTGGCAGAGATGTTTGCGCAGTTAGCTAATGTAATATCGTTTATCCATCGAGTATCGAATGTTGCTGACAAAAGGAAACTCCGGAGGAATACTTAACCGATCATCCAGGGTGAAGAGTTGCAACTCTTTTGCTCGATTAATAATTCCTAGGAAGGAGAAGATATTACTCCTCGTCCATTCAAGAAAATATCTCATTATTACATAAAATATTTTACAGGGAAACGAAAGTCTCATTGAAGACTCGACGTTATATATTTTTAAAGGAATAGATTTTTTTTCAAAATTGTAGATACATCTCTTGTAAAAGTGGATCGAATATTTCTACGCCATTCTATAAATTTTAAATCCTGAATTACTTTTTCAGGAATGGAGCAACGTTGAAACGAAACATAACCAATGTATCGACTATTATCCACTTGGCACTACGTTCTTGGATTAATATTCCATCTAAAATCTCGAAACTTAGCTTAGGTTCTTTCTTTTTGGAATATTCACTTTAAAACGATCCTCCTTCGAAAGATAACAATTCAATCAATCTTTCTAAACACCCCTCTTTATATTCCAAATTTTTAATTGAATGATGATCTTGCGGAATATTGATTCGATAACGATACTTTAAACTAGGGGATCTAATTTAACGAACGAATAATTTTCTATTGATCAAATAAGCTGATTGACTTATCAGCCTAGCAGATACACCCGCGGTGCAATACTCGCTGGGAGGAATATCAAGCGGAATAAAAGCGAATAGATACAAAGGTGTATCGGGTTGATAATAAATACGGGGAAGGCGCGAGGGCATAAATCGGTTTCCTTTATTAGCCGTGTAAGGCCGCGAGCGTATATTTCACAGATTTCACCGGGGGATGCAACTTGTTTAAGCGAGTTGTGAAACGAAAACCAGTTCTCGGCGTTAACTATCGCGCGGCGTTTTTCAGAATAATATTGGGATTTACGGGTGGAGGCAGACTCCATAGAATATCCTCTTCCTTCCTCGTCTCGTTCGACGACGTGAGTCAGAATTCAGACTCAGTTTTTCTTTCTTTGAAATGGAAAGATGCTCGAGGATTTAATTCGTTTCGAGAATAAATCAGTTTATAATTGTTATATTTACGTGGAATTAATATCATTAATATTTGTATTATTAATAAATATATATTTTTCAAATAGGAAAGTAAAGAATAAGTGAAAAGGAACATATTTGGATCTAGAGTAAATAGTTTTTTTTGGAGAATAAGAATTTTATAATTTCTCTATGGAAGAATATTTTGATCGAATGGAAGAATAAAGTAAAAATTTATTTCGACAACATGGCGGAAATAAAGAATTGGAATAGGATGTTTTTGGAATTATATAAATCTTATGAACAAAACGCCACGAGAAACGAATATTTAAAATTTTTTGCAAATTTCTTGAAATGCAACATTCGATACTCATTGTCGAAAATCATGTATATAATATTTTTCTCTCCCTCTCTCTCTTTCTCTCTCTTTGATAGTTAATAACTCTTCTTCTATCGTTTTGTTATGAAATTTGTTCGTTTCGTTATGAAATTTTACTCGTAATGACGCTTCCTCGAATTCACGTTTCTTATTCTGCTCATCATTGACTTCCGGTTGCTGTTAAATTTTCATGCTGTCATAATCCGGGACAATCGATAACAATTTGCGTGATTTTACGTCGAAAGATTTTACGCGACTAAGTTAAGATTTAGACATTGTTCTCTGTAATTTAACTGAGAGCCGAAAGATGATGATGTTTCTTAACAATTTTACGATCCACCATAGTGACACTCTGAAATTGTTTTCATATTTAGCCTCTTCCTTTTAAACGAAGATGAGATAAATAAAAGTTTCTCTCTCATCTGATCTTCTGCGTCTTCGGATCCTCCTTGTCCTCCATGCACGTGAAATTACCGTCCTGAAAGAAAAGTCGTTTATTAGCACCATATTTAATGTACAAGTAATTAATAATTATTAATAATTATTTATCTGATTTTTTACAATATGATATTAATAACCTACTTACGTGTCAACGATCTTAATAATCTTTTCCATGAAAATCTCTCGCATCTATCTGTAAATCAAACATCTTAAAAAATATTTTAAGAAATTAATAATTCTAATCTCACACGTTCTATCGTTCCTCACCTTCGATCGAATCCTGCATCCCAATATCGAATGTCGCAATGACGTGTTCTCCGAGTGTCACGTCTTCTCAAAATGGCCGTCGAATCTTTGAATCCATACCGATCGGAAATTAGATGGAACTAGGAGTGCCTCTTTCACGAGTCGTGGGAAGATTTCCTCCTTGTAACTGTACAACACCCTTCTTCGTCCGTGGAAAAAAACGGTGTAACACGGATCAGCCGGATCAGAAACTGGTATTCCGAGATCAATATTCATTCGAACTTCTTACCCTCGGTCATTACGATTTGTTTCCTCGCTCCCACTTATTTTCCGCGTTCCTCCTCCTCCTCCTCCTCCTCCTCCTTCTTTTCCTTCTCCTCCTTCTCGTCCATCTTCTTACCAGACGACATTCTTCGATTCGATCCATCGCGTACGATCCGATCCGATCCGTGGAACCGTCCACGTTGGATCCAATGAATAAATGCAGATGGATGCAGAGGATCGTTGTTTAGCTTTTCCTGTAACATTGGAGATACGTATGTTGTACGTTGGAGACGTAAAAAAAAAAAAAAAGGATGCGATTATATCGTTTGAATTATTAATTATCTTGTACATCCCGTAACTCGTTCAGGAAGATTTCTTGGTATTATATCATGGATCGTGGAAATAATAAATTTTAAACGATGAATATCACGAAACATGAAATTATAAAAATAATTTTATATTAATATTAAATCATTGAATTCTATTTTACTCTCTCTCTCTCTCTCTCTCTCTTGTGCAAATATTATTTCACAAGATGTTATTATTGGAAAAAGTAGTTTCGAATTTTCGAAATGAGCACAATCCTTTGTTAATGTAAATTGTCGATGGAAGAATCGAGTCAGAGGGAGAGAATTTTGGGAGGATGGTAATTAAATCTAAGTCGATTCTCGTAGCAAATCGATGTCCCTCGATAACAACAATGAACGACGGCTAATTGATTTACAAGTCGGTGCTCCACATTCTGCTTTATTATACCTGCACGCCTGCTCAATTGACCGTGACGAAATATTTTCCCTTAATTGAATAATCAACGGTTAATCAAACGGTCGGCTCGATTAAGATAACGATCGGCCGGCCCACTTAGCGCGGCAAACGGGCCGAATAGCAAGTAATTATTCACACAGCCATCTGAATAATTGCCGGGGAAAATTAACCGAGCACGGACCAGTTGCCTCTCATGGCTTTATTAATAACGACACGTTTTCGACGCGAACTCTTTCCCCCCCTCTCCCCTCAATGGATTGGAACGATGGCCAATTTACTCGCGCATTATATCGTGTTATGCGTGTTTCACTTGTTTTTACTTTTACTAATTTTTTTTTCAAAACTTTCCCTCGAACGTTGAAGAGATATTCGGTGAGGAATCGAATTTGATGAAGGATCGCCTTTTCGATTTGCAAACGAATATAAGTATAAATTAAATATTTGTTAATATCAATCTCAGGAATTGGAAATATTCGAAAGATTTGAAAATTCCCTCCAAAGATTATATTAACTGGAATCCATTTTTTAGAAATAATCAGAGACGTCCCTCTTCAATTATCAATTTAGAAAAGCGAACAGACCTTCGTTTCGCCGATGATTTTTTTTTTTTTTTTAATAGAATGAAACGTGATAGTTCGTAAAATGGAAAGAGAGGAGGGGAGAGGGGGAGAAAATGAGTAGGAAAACGAGATAGGTAGCGGTGGAGGAGGAGGAGGATCGAGGCGGAATATTAACCAATTCCGTTCGATTAAAACAACAAAGTCGGGAGAACGGCAAGAAGTCTGGGACCGTCTCGACAGACTTGTTCACGTGGAGGGAACTCGTGCTTGCTTCGTCACCCTCGAAGCCACAATTTCTTCACACTAATTACCGATCCGTCCCGCCCACCTGACAAGCGAGAATGTGTGAAAGACACGGAGAACCCGACCCATCCACGAACAAGCTCTCCTCGATCGAGCAACAATATTGTTCGTCGATTATTCCATAATTCTCCACGTATTCGAAAATGGAAGAATTCTTTCGAATAATTAAATGGTAATTAAACGAAACTGAAACGAAAATTTTTAAGTATCGGAGATGGAACGTTCTCAAAAGAATATTTCGATTGGCGCAAATGTTGATTTGAGAAAAAAGTAATAAAAGGATTAAATTAAGATTAAAAATCACTCTCTTCTTTTCTCTATCTGATAAACGAAAATTAATATTAATTTTGCAAGAAACAAAATCAATTTAGAATTTAATAATTCGATAGCGTTTTAATTTCTCGATCCTCAAGAACCGAATTCCGACCTCGATTCGAAAATGGGGGGGCTCGAGATAGGATCGAGATAGAGTGATCGATTTACGTGAATAATGAGACGGGGAGTGAAGCCACTCCCCCCCCTCCGATAAATTTAACGCGTTACGGAACCGCGACCGATGCTCTCTCGCCGTGGAACAGGAGTGTTCCACGTCGTTAGACGCCGAGGTTACGTCCTGGGCCCCGTACAGACCCATGGTGGTCCCCCTCGACCAGGTGGCCGGCCCCCACCGATGCCAACTAATTAAATCATGAAAAAGGCGGTGAACGTGCGTCCTACAGTTTTTACGAAATTAATAAACCGGAACCACCAGTGGTTCTCAAGGTCTCCTCTCGTTACCAACGAGGAGACTGTAACGAGGATGTAATATCGATTTAATAGAGATATTAAAAAATATTACTTATATATATATATGTATCTTTCTCTTTCTCTTCTCGAAAAAAGGAAAGAGAATAATTAGTGAAAAGAATTAATACTACTTTCGATATTAAAAGTTATTTTCTATCGAGGGTATCAAAGCGAGGATAGTTTTTTTCAGGGAGTCGTATCGGATCGGAGGATATAAATTAACCGGATGGGAGGTTGATTTTAAACATTGTTAGAGGCGTGATAAATATGTTTAACACCTACTTTTGAATTACCTCGGCATGACGAGGTACGAAAGGATACGATTCTTGGTGGCAAAAAAAGCATCGATTTCTTCCTCCATCCGATCGTTTGCATCCGCAAACGGGGAGAACAGCCTTTTTGCCCGTATCTCTTCTTCTTCTCGCGCCGCGACCAATCGATAAAGAATTAATCGAGGTGACCATGCTTCCCCTCGGTTTCTTGCACGGAACCATCCGCTTTTGGACCATCCTCCGATAACTTTGGCTAGATCATTGGAATCTCGATCTCCTCTACTCATCTACGAAAAACCTGTAACGATCGATGGTCGATTAATTTTTCACCTACTTTACTTTTTTCCCTTTTTTCAAATATTCTTTTCAAGAAAAAGTAGTTAACGAGACAGAGAGAAAAGAACAAGAATCCAATCGACACTCTCTTCATCCGGGGAAAAAATAATTTACTTAAAAAAAATTTAAAGAGAAAGAAACACCAAATCGAGCACCAAAAACCCGTGACACAAGCGTTTCTTCCAAAAAACATTCTCCATCCAACGACATCCCCCGCATCCCGAGCGGAAAGGAAGGGAAAGATGATCGGCGAGGGTTGAAACGAGTTTATCCTCCGCCATCCACGAGTTGTCGAACGCGCGATGGGAATAAAATGTGAAACTGTAAATTGTGCGTGGGAAAAATCGGTCCCTGGACGGTCGTGGCGGTCGACCATGCTTCGTGGAAAAGGTGGAACCCATCCCCCACACCCCGCATCGTCCCTACCCATCGCGAGGGTTGATCCTTGAGGAGGGAAGGCCGGTCGGGGAAAAGAGGGAGGGAAAGGGGGATTCGTGGACGATTTAAATGCGCGTTCGAGCGATCGAGCAACGTTCGAGGGGGAGGGGGAGGGGGGGGTGGGATGGAGCACAGCCTCGAAGGAGCTGGAAATTTGTTACGTTGTTGTCGAACGATCACTCCCCAGCGAATATGAAGAAAGATTTCTTCTTTGGTTCGAGGAGGAGGGGGAGGAGAGAAGGGGAGGGTGGATGGCGGTTCCTCTCTTGACAGTGGAAGGTCGCTGAGGGTTGGTCGGCCGTTTCCAGTGGAAGAGGGAGAGAGGGAGGGGATGGTGAACACGGTGCCAGGAATATAAAGCGAGGGATGAAAGAGACGGCGGTCACATATGCGACTCGTAAAAGCTCCTCTGAAAAGCTGCATCCTTCCCTCCACCGTGCACCCCTGGAACTCGGCCTCCCTTACATTTCAACGATGGTACTGGAATATCGCGACAACGATATGTTTCTATGTCGAGAGAATCTGGAGAAATTCCCCTTTCTTTCTTTTCTTTTCTTTTTTTTTTTTCTTCATTATTGAATTGTTTTATATATATATATATATATATATATATATATATATATATATATGTGTGGGAAAATGAAGCTTTTCTTTTTTTTCTGTTCTCTCAATCCGATCTAGATCCACTTTTGAAATGATATAATTCGAAATATTTCATAGTTATTATATCGTGTAATAACTACGTGAAATAATTATTCAAGTATTACAGTGGAATAAATGATCGAATAAATGATTAAATAACAATTAAAATTATCATCCATTTCACGACGAATATTCCTCCGTTGACTTTCATGAAATTTTCTAAAATACAAAAATACGTTTACTTTTATTTTATTTCTTATCTTATCGCGTGTAATCAAACGCTTATATACAATTTTCCAATTTCTTTCTTCTTCTCTTTTCTTTTCTTATCGATACACAATCATAATCGAGGTGCACGTTAGCACGGTTAAAGGAGAGAAGGAGCAGAATCCGCGGCGACATCGGACGTTTCTATGGAAACGTACAAAAGGCACGTTCAACCCCGGGGTGGGAGGGGAGGGGAGGATCTAGCGATATCGGCGAATATTAAGAAATAGCTCTCGACCGGCATTTCCGTACATTTGCGGGCAGAGAACGAGCCATTCGTCCGCCGGCCAGAACGAGGTGCTGTCTATGCATGGCACGCCGGCACCCACCCATCCAACCGCCCCATAAATAATATCTCTTCCCTCTTCCCTCCTCGCTCCCTCACACTCACTTCGTCCCCTCTCGCGCCGTCTCGCGAGCTTTCCAACATTTCGTCTTTTTCCATACCCATGCCCCATTCCACGCCTAAGAACACGTAATTCCAAGCTGTGAAAAATAGGGACGAGAGAGATCTTAATGTCT